GGCAACCTTTGCCAAAGCAGCCTGCGGGGGGCCGGAGGGCTGTATTATCTGCTTTGAGCAGCGAGTCAATGGCAGCGGAACTGACTCCGCACCCAGGCAGCCCGGGATGGAGGGGTGGCTGACGGACAAAAGACGTCTCCAGCACGCGCTGACAACCGGGACGGTAGCCCGCGGGTTTCCCATTCAGGGCTCCCGGCTTTCCGGCCCCGCTGCTTCCAAATCCGTCTCCGGGCCGGGCCGGAGGGCGGGAGCCATGCAGGGCGCTTGTGAGAACCGGCCCGTTGGGTGCGCGGGGGGGTGGGGTAGGAGCAGACGGCAGAGAGGATCAGGAAGCGCCGCAGTTTGGCGAGAGCAGCTTCCTGGCTTCTGATGGGCGTAACCCCCTTAGAGCTGGAGCCGAGCAATGGGGAATAAAGGAAACCGACCCCAGGGCTGCACAGAAATCGCTAAAGAGTCTGACAGTCTCCAGTGAAAGCAATATATTTAACCACAGTTCTCAGCTGCATGTCCAGGGAGAGCGTGTGTAATGCACTCCAGCTCAGAAAAAGCTGAGGAAGTTTTTCTCATTATTGAACGTTACACAAGGCTTTTCACTGGACAGAGCTGATAATAGTTTTTCTGTATAGTTTTGAATAACCATTAAAAGCCCCAATGCAGTACTACAGTATAGCTGTAAAATTAAACACAGCACAGGGCAGAGAAAATTGCTGTGCAGCTGTGACCCTAAGAGAATAACTCTGAATCACAGCACTGAATCGAGCCTCTCTCCTTTTATAACATGACTCCCAGCAATACAAGGAAAACTCAATACTGCTCTGTGAACCACGCACACTCTCTTGAGTACTGTTGCCCTGCCTCCGAGCCATAGCTTACATGCATGCACACAAAAGAGAGGCAATCACACTGCACTAGGCAGCCCCAGAGCTGTGGGAGTCTCATGCTCAGGCATGAGAAAGAAAAAGAAAATCTGGGCAGAAGCCTGGGGTCTCCTGATCAACCTGGGGCAGAATGGGCTACTTATTTCCATCCCCAAGACTCATTTAAAACAAAGCAAACAACGCTGGAAGAATCTTGCCTAGGAGCAGCGAAGCTCTCTTGCAGATTGGGCATCACTGCCTGCGAAGGTGAGCACGCCCCCAGAGATCCCAGCTTCCTTCTTTCCCTGTCTGTCAAGATCATGCCACGCTCATGCTGGCGGCCAGCCCAGAAAAGAGTGAAGGACACTGTCCCTCCACCCATTTACTTACTGCTTCTTCCAATTCAGACTCTCGGTGGAGCAGGAGTCTATTCTGGCAAACAGCAGGCGAAAGACACCAGTCCATCATGGGGCACACACAGACACACGTACCAGTGCCAAGTTTCCCAGAAGTCAATGAAACTACCCCAGAAGAATGTGGGGAGAACATACAAAATCCATGCTGAAAGCACCCAAGGTCCAGATTTGAACCCAGGGGCCCAGCACTGCAAGGCAGCAGTGCTAACCACTGTGCCCATTATGTCGCCTGCAATTTTATATACTGAAGTGATATTCGGACAGTGTGAGGAATCATGATGATCAGGCATAGGCCACATTTTCATAACCATCAGTTCTGGGACATCTGCAGTATGCTGCTCAAATGTAAAAGAATCTATAGAAACTCACACAATCCAATCTCTCTTGGCATCCTGTGTGCTGGTATAAATAATGAATTACCCTTAACTGTCTTACTGCTTTTCTACATGGGACCCTAAGAACATCTTTTGATCCAGAAAACCATTGCAGCAGGTGTAGCAGGAGGATCAGCAGATGAATGTCTAGGGGCACAGCCTAGAGAGCGAGTGGCTGTTGTTGTTTCAGTAACACATGGCGACCCGGATCGGACAGGCGTCTGAAAAAACGAACTTCTGTTTGTCAGGAGAACTTAACGGTGGCCATCTGCAGTCTGTATCAGTCTTCCCACAAGCATTACAGCCTCTGTTGTGTCCGTGCATTTAATTACACCGAGCAGATCTTGGCGTTAGCCTATTAACAAGGACAGAATGAGTAATTAACGCATGAGTGACAGGACAAAGACTCGCGGAGAGCATGAAAGATCTGGTACCATAACATCCCCACACTAAGCCTGAATAAAAAACAGGGAATCTGCAAGCCAACTGACTGACTGATAAACCCGGACTGCTGTGTTTGTTAAATGAAAACTGACAAAACTCAGAAAGGGTGCAGTCTTAATCCAAGACCTCCTTATGGGCTGGATCTCAAGAATAATGGCCACAGGCTCCCCTCTCCCAGCTCTGTTTATAAAAGACAGTGACAAAGAGAGAGAACCAGTGCAGGTCCTGTTGGAAAGCCCAACTCCTGCAACACGCTCTAATGAGTGTTTCCCTCTAGATTTGATAAGGAGCATTTTCTTGCGTCAGGAAGAGAGAAGCAGACCTTCAGGGGAGTGAAGTGGGACTGTCAGTCTTCTGGGAGTTTACAGGCAGGAGGAGGAGTGCCTGAATGGCTTGGCAAGAGGTGTGGACAAGGGACAGAGAGGGAGAAGGGGCAGGGAAGGAGACAAGAGTAGAAGTAAGTAATGGTACCCAGGGATACAATATCTGTTAACTATACACTATAGGGTTGGAACAACTTCCAAAGCTCCATCATGGTAAACATTACCAGCCCTGGTGCACACTGCGCAAGGCTGAACACTCACTGGCCCTAAAGCCACATCCCTTCCAGAAATCGGGGTGAAATGAGAGAAGGGGGTTCCCAGGGGGAAGCTCTTTCGAGAAGGAGCCACAGTAGATGGAGAGCATGTTGCAGTAGCATCCTGCTACACTGCAAGGCAGCAGAACCAAAACGTTCGGTCTGGTTTTTTCTTCTCTGTAATGCATCCTTATCAACGGTTGCTCGGCTAGCCGAGCCTGTGATGAATCTGAAGCGGAAAGAGAAAGGGAGAGAGGGAAGGAGAGAGAAAGAGGTACAGAGAAAGGGGGTCTGGGACCAAGCCAGCAGCGTCTTGTGATTCCCAGGAGGTGTTTCAGACACCAGGGGCTGCTGTGAAGCCCAGTGCTTTGGGGCTTATTCAGGCGAGAGAAGGGGAAAAAAGCACACAAACCAGAGAGGAATACAGAGCATGTGGGGGAAACTGAGCTGCCATCTCATCTCACACAGAAACAGTTTATCTGCTTGTTGGCTCCTTCATTGAATCGCAGCAGGAATTCAGTTCCTTGGTTACATAACAAAGCGGAGGCAGGAAAGAGTATGACAAGCGGAGAAGAACACCAAGCTTTTCTGGTGAGCTAAAAAGGCTGCACACTGCTGAAAGCCATGAGAAAAATACCACCAACAAATTAACAAGGATACCATGATTTTGTACACCACCAAAACATAGCCTTGCCATAAACACCTACTGTATATAAGGCCACGACTTTAACAGCCTGTCGACTGACAACAGGCTGTCAATACTTAAAACATGACTTACACCCAGTTTTCCTGTTTGTGACTTGGGGTTGCTCTCTGCCAAAAGACACTGGTGGCAGCTGTGGGATCTCGGAACAGCGCTCTCAGTAAATTGGCCAGCACATTCTGGGGTGACGATGCATGTACTCTGCACCAGACTGCATTTGCTATCAGCCTCTCTGCTGCAGAGTACAGTCCTCCAGGTCTGTGGTCACACATTTGGGCGAAGGTATAAAAACACAGAGGATGAGCCCAAAAGGAGGAAGAAAAGGCCTTTTGGAAACAGGAAGTAAGAAAGTGAGAGGAGGACCCTAAGTCGATGTCTTCCAGTTGGTGGAATTCTGGATGTACGTGACTCTATTCTACCTGTGGACATTTTCACTTTTACGTAGAGATTACAGGATATCTCTGGCTTTAAGATCGCCCTTTTAGTTTTCTGTTGAATGACCCTCACCTTTGTGACCCAAGGTCATTCTCTTCTCCTCTCTTTCTTGTGGTTTATTTCTCTTTTTTGCCAGAGGGTCATAGCTTCCATTCGCAGGTGTATCATCATTACTGCTTCATCTTGTGCCCTAGGTTTGCCAGGAGTCCCCACAGAAACTCCAACTGTACAAAACAAGTGTCAAACTGAGAGATGTAAAGAGAAAAACAGGCAATGTGAGCCTTGTAAATCGCTCTGGATCAGAGCCAAGATTAGAGACAAATGAATGTTAATAGTCATGGCAGCTGGGTTGTAGTTAATACTGGTCATTGACATACAGCAGGTGGTAATGCACAGCCTGACAGGTAATTGCCTGCTATAGCAGGTTTATTGCTTCAGCTGTGGATGACTAGGTGCAACCTGGGTTATATTCTGTCAGTGATTTACTGGCTAGGAGTGTGTTTTCCAGTCAGAAACAGAATATTATACACAAGAGGGTACTCATCCCCAGTTTCCATATTATCCTTTAGGGTATTCAAAACATTCTCTAATAAAACATGCTACATGAAATGTCCAAAAAGGACAAAAAATAATTTTGGAAGTCCCAATATCTTAGAAAGGACATATAATGCTTCTGTATGGGAAAATAAAACTGCACTACAGTCTAAGATCGCACATGGGACACAAAGAACGCCTAACCCGTTCATGAACTCTTAATGAAAGCTAAAGAGGGTGAAAAACACATTTTTTTTCCAAACTGAATGCAGAGTAAAAGCACTTGGTATTTTAATATGGATTTTAACTCTGCATAATGATTACAAGAAGAGTTCAGTGCCAAGTTTTTTAAAAAAGCGTTGCATCTCAGCAATGAAGCCAAGAGCCAGAAACTAGATTCTTCGGGCGGACACTGATCGGCTTCCTTTGTTTTTGTTCTTGCCTTTGTTTTGCTCTTTTACTCACAAACTGCGTGTGAGAACAAAAAAAAACCCAAGCTGAGCTAAGCGGGGATACTATATTTTGCATCCTTTGCATTCCGAGGAGGGTCACCTGACAGCAGCAGCCTGCCCATGGTCTCCAGCCAATGGCCGGTCTGGCAAGGATCTGCTGTGCATCGGCAGGATGTGTGAGCAGGAGCCGCGACTCAGAGACAGGGGGAGAGAGAGAGCAGCAAACAGGCACAGGAGCAGAGCTGAGAGACAGCTACTGCTGCAGACACGGGGCTGCGTCGGTGCTGAAGGAGGAGGGGAGGAGACGGAGGAGGAGGAGGGTGGAGGGGGTGAAAAAGAAAGAGGGAGGCTAATGATACTGGCACACTCGGCTTCCTGGGAGCACATCTGTAATGTGAGAGCAGCCCTATCCAGTGCGGAGCCCAACACTGCTGCTGAAAGGTAAGAAGCTGGTTTCATTAAGGCCGCCTGCAAGGTATGCTAATCAGCGAGTCTCTGGCTTTGCAAGTAAGTTTCCTTTAATTTCAGAAAAAGCCCAGTGCTGTGCTTTGCAAAAAAGGACGTGCTTTAGACGCTAGCAGCGGAGACACAGCAAGGCCATGGGACGTCAGCAGAGGTAGCACCAGCTGCTGATGGAGAAGGAGCGGAGGGCAGTAATTCAGAGAAGTTAAGAGACTTGGCGTGTGCACTGAAAGTTAAAGAGGGTTGCTTGTAAAAAATAAAGACCATTCAGTGGCAAGTGATGTACCGTGTATGAATAACAAATGAAAAGGTTGTCCTTGAGAGGAGAACGGAAGGCCAGCGCTGTCTGTAGCCCAAGGAAACACTAGCTATTTTACATAAATTCCTAAACAAGCATGCATTTATGCATCACTGTTCTGTGTTAAAACCAACACAGGAAATTGGTTTCTGACAGTTAATCTGATGCGATGAAATTAGAATGCACGGGTTTAAGATAAGCAGAATCCTTCCTATCCTAAGAGTTGCACCTTAAAGGGGACATTGGTCAGCTGTGAGCTTGCTCTGCAATAATCCAGTGCACTAACTTTGGCTCCAGGCTTTTTTCTGCGTCTTGTTCTGAAGCCAGATGAAGTGCCTGAAACATCCAGCCTGAGCACATGTAGGATGTTTTAACAGAGAGAGGATCAATTCTGCACTACATTAGCGGTGGTTAAAATGGACCCATGATTGCTGACCCCCCCACTCCCCTCCCCGGGCCACACTCCTTTTCTCACTTCTGGCCGAGGCCAGTCTTGTTTCATGGAAAGGCAGATCAATTACAGTGGCCGTTTACCCAGCACAGCTTGCATGCTCTACGCTGTAAATGTTGCCCTCAGTATTGAACTGTAGCTGGAATGACGTCACCTTACAAGAGTGTCCAATAAAATCGGCCTGGATCTGGATGTGAACAGACCTGGCCTTCTCTCTCTCCCCCATCTGATGTCCTTGGTGGTATCGCTCGTCGGTGAAATGGCTTTTTAGCTGTAAAAATAGGAATGGGTCAGTTCTAGTGGAACAATACAGTTATTCTCAAACGGAAATGTGCCTCTGGGAGAGGAGATGCACAATTTTGTGTAACACAAGCTAACTCTTTATAAGCTGTTATTCATGTCTCCCCTTCGAGTGCCCCTGTCTCTCAGACCACGGCCTTCCTCCTGTTCGATTGCTGCTCATGCAAGCAATACGCACGTCAACAGCAATTTTCTCAGACGTCTGCTGGAACACGTCAACCACAAACCTGTTGGCCAGTGCAGTAAACTTAACAACAACCCCTTTTCTGGGTTTTGTCCCATTAGCCTGCTGCTTGTCCCTGCATGACAAACAGCACAGTTATGTTGTATGTGCACCAGGCAGGGACAGAGGAGCTTCCTATGTTGTCTCCTACAAGGGCCTGTATCATCTACGAAGAGAGGCGCTGCAAGGGCTCCTGGGAATGTGGGGGAGGAGACGTGGGGATTGAGGTTGCCATACTAACTGTGACCTGATGAGGAAAGGCTCGAATTCAACACACCCTTTGTTTTGTGGTTGTTTTCTCATGGCTGGGGGGTATAACCAAAGCTGTCCCCACTTTGTCCAGACCTCTCATGGTTTCTATATTCCTCACAGCTGATAGGGGTAGGGAGCTGAGAGATGTGTGAGATCTTTCTGATGCGTCCCGGAGCTCAAGGTGCCCGTCTCTGGTGCCGAAACACAGCAGCACTCTGCAGGGCTGCCCTGACTTGGAAGGTGCCAGTTGCACTTGGTCAGTCTGTTCTCTAGAGCATCGCTTTCACTGACTATGAGCCATGAAAATGTGAAACTACTAACAGTGGGGTGGTGGGGTGGTGAGGAGGCAGGAGCAGGGTAACATTTTTCGTCAACTTCAGAAAAGTCAGATATCAAGAGGAACTGTTTTCTGGATGCTGGAATTCATCACCAGGTGAAAACATTAAAGGAGATAAACTGGTTATTGCAAGGTTGGGGATGAAAAAAGCTTCCTTCTATATTGTGGTTGACTCCTGGTTCTTTTCCTTTGCTCAGATGTCATGGCGTCCGCAGTACCGAAGCTCCAAGTTTCGAAATGTTTACGGCAAAGTGGCAAACAGGGAGCACTGCTTCGATGGGATCCCCATCACCAAAAACGTCCATGACAACCACTTCTGCGCTGTCAACACCAAGTACCTCGCCATCGTGACAGAGAGCGCCGGAGGAGGGTCTTTCCTGGTCATCCCCTTGGAGCAGGTAAGATCCCTGCCTCTCCTGACCCCTCGAGCTCTCCGCTGGCGTCATACACACATGGCTCCAGGAGGGGAATATGAAAGAGCTTGGAGGAAAACACCAATACTCCAACCCATCCACACGTGTGAAATTGCTTGGAGTGTCCATCTCTGTTTGCATTTTCCTTCCTCTCTCTCAGCGGATGTGTGCTCAGCTCCCATATTTACAAACCACTGCTGATGCGTGCTTAGATCCTCAAATCCAGCTAAGCAACCCTACTTACAAACCACGCGTGCACTATTCACAAGAGCCATGATGTCTGTGTTGCTTTCTGGGAATAAAATGGAAAATGAACACAAACAATACAGTGCACAAAGCTATGCTTGTCATTGCTCTACTTATTTAAAAGTCTTTGCAAGCAGACCCATGTAAAGAAGTGAATGCTTTGGACTACTTAAATATGCAGGAGGGTTTCGAGCAGCCTGATCACTGGTGCTTTTACACTGACCACTAACCAGTACTGGCTGCTCTCAGTCTCAGATGTTCTTAGGAAGGTTTGGGGGACATGAAGGCAGTGTGAACCTTGAGCAGACTGTGGCTTTAAGGGAGCCACATCCATAGTCTTTCAATTGCTCCTGGCAGCTACAACTCTTTTATCCTGCACACTGGCCAAACTAAACTATCACCAAAGTGGAGTGCACATGAATCTAAAGCCCTAATACAGCAAATCAGAGATTTTGCTGGTATCAGCTGAAATCTATTGGCTATTGGAAAGGAATCCCACATATATATAAATAGGAAGGGAGCTCATAATGTTAGTTACTCAGATAAGTGGATTTTGAAACCCCTGAGTCATGGACCAGTGAAGTTCTGTACGCTTACGAACAGGACCATTGGAAACACTTCCATGGACAATGGACAACAGCACTATGACCGACAGTGTGACACAATATGGGGTTCCTCCTAGGATTCTAGATACGTAGGGTACCAAGTTAAAATGATCATTATTAATGGACTACTTTAATTAAAAATGCACTTCTAAATGAGATCGAGCAGAACCCCCACAGTGTTCCTTCTTACATAACATACAGTACAATACATTTATGCAACACATAAGGAAATAAAAAAAATATTAATTTCACTGGTGCTGTATTTGTTATAGAATTTATTTAAAAAAAAACACTAAAGTATTTCATGGAGAAAAAAACGTGAGCCCTAGTTAATCAGGGCAACCCTGCCTCAAACGTAAATGGAAATGGAAACACAGCAACATTTTCCAGGAATGGATGAATTTGTGAATGCAGTGGTTCCCTCAGTGCCTGTTCCCGACCTTAGAATTTCCACTGAAGGCAGATCCACACGCTTGGCCTAAGATGGCCGTGTACGATGGCTTGAGGCGTAAGTACAGGCTTGACAAATTGTTCAGCAAGCCCTCAGCAGCCCTCAGAACGCCCCGCGCACCCTCTTCCCCTCACGGTACAAACCCGCCCTCAGCGGCCGGAGCAGCAGCACAGAGAGGGGGGCTCCTGCTGGCACTGAGCCGAGCTCCATCAGTGCTCCAGCAGGCTGTCGGGAGAGAGCTCAAGCCTCCCTCTGCCACCGCGGGCTCAGTGGCGCTCAGCTGCCCGGGGCCGCCCTCAAGTCTCTAGCTGGTCAGGGAATGATGTCAGTCTCAGGCAGGGCTGCTGGGAGACCTGGGCCCGTGTTCAACAGTGCTTCTGTCCACCGTGCCTGCAGACACTCTGGGTAAAGTGAAGGGCAAATTTATCTGCTTCTTCTGGTGGTAACATTCCATGATTTTAAACATGTCCACGGCTTTCTTTTCTCCCCTTTTTCTCTGGCCCCATCTCGTCGAGTCAGAGCCCCTGGCTGCCCTGGTCAGTCCACAGCGGATATCACCGTCTTTGAGATGGAGGGCAAGGTTTTGTGTTGAGTTAAACGAGCTAGCTGCGCCTTGATTCCCACATCCTAACCAGGAGGAAATGAATTATTAATTACACCTAATGGAACCTCGCAACCCCAGCCCCTATTCATTTTGCTGATTTTTCTTTCATGTATACTGAATGCTCAAGAAGAACTGGAGGTGAAATTCACGAGAAAATGATCTACAGTTCTTCCTTTTTGAGTCGGTTTCCAGTGCGGGCAAAAGCATTAGAGCAAAAATGCCTTTTCTCCAGTCACAAGTGTTCCCAGTACACTATACTTGAACGCCCTAACCACAGATAAATACCAGGCAGCTATAGATCTACAGCAACAGAATAAACTGGATTATAAATGCACATTTATTTCCCGATCTTGGACCTGTCTACACAGGAGTGCTGAAAATTAATTTTCTGCTCACTGCTGGCTTTGCCTTAGGACAGCAATATGTCTTTTCTCCAATACGCTACAAACGCATGAGTCATCATTCTCACTGATTGAATCTGTTTTTTTGGAGAAAACAGTGTAAAAAGAAACTGTCCCACTTCGAAAGAAGGAAGGGGTGGAGTAATGAAATTACCCTGTTGTTGGACCTGTAACTGGAAGGTTGTGGGTTCAAATCCCAGGTGGTACCACTGCTATTATATCATTGAGTGAGGCACTGAGCACTGAGACTACTTCAATAAAATACACAGCTGCAGAAATGGATCCAACAGCAAATCGCTCTGCATGAACAGTGTTAGCCAAATCAAACAGAGAGAGATCTGTACCAGCCATCCAGCAGATATTATGAAGAACAGGGGCACTTCCAGTGTGATGAGTGGCCTCGGCTTCCAGAGCTGGTCTCAGCGTGCCGGCCATATGGCGCACTGATAGAGACAGGGCAGTGGGGAAGGCCTTGGTTACTGCTGCCAAACGGCATTACAGAAGAGTGAGATAACCTGGAATCATTTCAGAACGGACCCATGCGCAATCGCAAGACAGACTGTAACGTCTGCAAAAGCAGTTTTCCGCTGCCCGGGCGATGGAAGTCCAGCCCAGCTGGCGCTGCCCGGCTGCTGCATCCCGACTGGGTCCAGACGGCGTTGGCGGGCTGCCGGCCTCTGAGAAGGTGGAGCCCAGCTCCAGCTGGGATCCTTCTTAGCAAAGAGCCGAGGTGTTCAAATCAGGGGTCGCCGGGGAAACGCCCGTGTGTCCTTCCACAGTTCCGCGGCTGGAACGTGCCGACCCGCGGGGGGGCCGACGCGTGCGTGTGGCAGGACAGGTAACCATGCTCCCGGCACGGGGAGCAAGTCCAGCGCCGCACGACAGGCCACAACGGCAGGCGTGCCGACACGCGCTTGTGTCAGCATTGATATGCGATCGCCGTATCCATTCTTTTCCAGAGCCCCTGCATCGGGCAATATACATCACCTCAAATCGCCCATTGTGCTTGGTTTTGCATAATGCATTTTATGAGTAACCCGTCATCAGGCTCTTGCTAGAGTGAGCACAGGTTAATCACCATAGCAACTCCCGTCAGTGGGAGTGGGTGGCTGAGCAGGACGAGGGCGACTCTACGGGCTTGTACTCCGACACCCCTGAGCACTCAGTTCACACTCGAGAGCTGTCCTGGTATGGATGGTAAACGTGAGCTATCTGGTTTTTCCATAGTTTTTTCCACAGTCAGCATCCTGCATTCCCGTATGTTAATATGGTTTCCCACACACTTATCCCTTCTTCCGTCGTGCTGAATTCAGTATTATCCTGCTGCTGCCATGTTATGGAGCTGTAAGCTTTTGGAAGAGGACATACAGTACAGCCATTGCAACATTTATTTTGCTAGCAACAGCAGCCTGGTAAGACTTTTAACGAGCAAAGCTGCCATGCACTAACATATCTACAGGTATTGCAAAGTAAAATACTCTTTGTACTCTTCAGCAACATTTGTCTGACTGCAGTGTCGGTTCCTTGGGCTGTGCTGGCCTGCTGCACACCCACGCCACACCTTACACAAAGCTTATGATCCACAAGGCTTTACGCACAGTGCCGTAGCCAGGAAGTGATTTTTGGGTGGGCCTGTGCAAAAGTGGGTGGCCCAGGCTCTAACTGACCCTGTTGCCAGCATAGGGGCACCCCTCCAATTTACAATGCAATCCTCGAGCAGTATAATCAAACAGCAGAATTATACCTTCTGTATATATATACATACACTCCCTCTCTCTCTCACACACACACAGGTTAAGCAACAGTCACCTAGGCTGCCGAACGCCATTGTGCCACGGCGGATACACATAAAAACAAGCAGTGCCTACCTCTGTTGTGAGGTATTAGCCTTCTAGACCAGACGTAGGCGTCGGGGCTGGGAATTCAATATGGCGATAATCTCGTCACTGTCTAGAGGGTCGGCAAATTCCCGTTCAAATGACAGCTAGTTTGCAAAGGTCTCTCATATGAGGACCTTGTCTTTAGCTATAAAAAAGAAAAGCTGCAAGAGCTCATTTTCACTTGTTGCTTGTAACAGTTCTAAGAATTTCGAATTTTGCCTGCGTTTAGATTTCGGTAGTTTTACAAAGTTAATATTTTATTGCAAAACACAATGAACACAACGCAAAACGCAAGATTCAAAATCCGTTCGAAATATTGTATTTAAAGTACCATGCAGTGTTTACCTGGAGCTCCGTGAAGTTGCCCCCCTACGGACAGCACAAACGATGAAACCCACCTCATTCGTTAGTGCTACGTTTGTGCCGTTGAAAGTGGGGTTTGTGCTGCTTTCGTTTCCGAGATGTAGCACCTTGTTTTTCGGATAATCACCAACAAACTCGGTACTTGAACAGCTGATTATGATGAAAACATTGCGGGAAATTTTGTTTTCCGAGTCTTTCTGGTCGGGTGGAGTGGATGTAGGTGTTTTCTTTTAATTTTGAACCATGTTCTCAAAAATGTATTGCTTGTATACTTTAATTTGTGAAGAGACACCAGTTTCCAAATTACCACTGGTTACAAGATCGATATAATTTAACAATAAAAAAACTAAATAAAAAGCACGAGCACAATAATATAATGATCATAGACTTTACATTTCTATTCATTTTTAAAGTACAAAGCAGGTGTTTCCCCTA